TACAGTGTTATAGCTAATCCTTTTATCAAGAAAATGAGAGAGAGTGAGAGATTTAATTGATAAGCATAAACAGGCAGCTTCCTTTCGTATTTCCGAATAAACCATAAAACGAATTAGCAACCAAGAATTGATATCAGATCACAATATCATGAATGAGAGATCTGATAAACAAGCCCCAATCATCGTGTCGTGCAGATGATGATTATGGTGTCACGACATTTTCAACATGCAGCAGCTCCTTCTCAACATCATTGTTCATTTGGAGTAGTAGTCCTTGGCTGTTACTATATACCCGTATAAAATTAAATTATGCATGTACTGTACATGTACAAAGCGTGGTTACATTCAAATTGTATGTACACGCTTTACGTTTACTGATATTTTCACTGTTAGTTGCACTCTCTCTCTCCTTATTATCTATCCTCTCTCTCTCTTTCTATTCTCTCTTCACTATACTATCCTCTTACTATTACTCTCATTATATCTATCTCTATCTTCTATATTCTCTATTCAATCTCTCTCTATAAAATATATAACACTATTTCGACTCGCACGACGTATGCAAAGAGACCTTTTACTCTGATGATGATGCACTATGCAGACGAGAGAGGAGACGAGAGAGATACTTGAGAGACGCAGACCGACTCTTTCCCCGATCCGATCCCGCACTGATGCATACGAGGCACGATGAGAGACTACACTCATATATTTCATATTACTATCCTTACAAATATTACTATAATCTACATAACTACATAATATCATCTATCCACACTATATTCTCCACTCCTCTCAACTACTACTATCAATATATTATAATACCTCATATCAATCACTCCTCATAACATATACTAACTTTTATAATCCTCACTACTCCCCCTTTATCACCTCCTCTCTCCTTTTCTTACGTATATACCTACTTATCACTCTTCTCTACCTATAATATATATATACCTCTCAAATACTTATCTATCACTTTATTTATCTCTTCATCTCTACCTCTCATTATTTCACCTCTTCTATATATTATATTATACTATTGCACATACATTACATACATACATTACATACACCCTTATATATATAATATAGTACTCCAATATATTAATATAATTTTATCATTAGGTATATTTAATATTATTTATGATATATATATTATATTTTCCTTCTATTCTCTCTAATTTCTTTAATTCTTTATTTTCCTTTCTAAATAAAATAATTTCTTCATCACTATTGTCATTGTCTATTGACTTTCTCATTCTTTAATTCTTAATTTCTTTCCTTTAATTTTCAATTTCTTTAATTTCTTTAATTTCCCTCTTCACCTCTTCTTTAATTCTGAATTTAACAGTGTATCAATTGTCATTTAATTTGCATATAAGAATTTCTTTAATTTCTTTAATTTCTTTAATTTCTTAATTTCTTTAAATTTCTCCCTTAATTTTATGGTTTTTCCACCCTTCTGGCCTTAAAATCCCTTCTGCCGGGAGCCTGCCAGGGTCTGTCTTTCCATTCGCTATATTTATATTTATATTTATATTTATATTTAATTATCCCTTTATATTTATAGTTATATTTAATATTTATATTCCAATATATTTATATTATTAGGTTAATATATTAATATATTTATATTTCAGTTATTTTATATTTATATTATATTTATATTTCCGGTGAACTTTAATTCTATCTCCTTTTATATTGTATTATTTCTATTTATTTATATTCTGGATATATTTTATACATTTATATTAATATTGGGTAGTTATTAAAGGGTTATATTTAATATTATATTTATATTTATATTATATTTATATTTATATTTCTATAGTTTATATTTTATATTTATTAATTGTATATTGTTATGAGTTGTGGATATTTATTTTGTTATATTTGATAGTTTTATGTTAGTAATTTTATAATTTATATTTATATTGTATATTTATGGGATAATTATATTGTAGTATTTATATTTATATTTATGTATGTTATATTATATTTATTATTCATATTCATATTCATATTTCTATTGCGATATTTCATATTATATTTGTATTTATATTTTATATTCATAGGGGTATATATATTATGTCATAATATATACTAGGTATATATATATATATATCTGCCTTATAGTATATATATAATTATAAATATATAGGTGAATATCATATGGAGATATATATATGAAGTATGAGGGTATATATATGAGTGAGGGTATATATATAATGATGTGTATATTGGGAATAATATATATAATATTAATATATATATAATATATATAATAATATATAATATATATAAGAGTAGGGGAGGGGGAGGGGTAGATGAGGTGATAGAATGTAAATATGTTTCAAACAGGTAGGAATAGTGATCTGGGAATAAGGGTTAATATTCAAGGTATAGGTAGTAGTGAAGTATGATAGTATTAGTTGGGTTAGTAGAGTGAGGTATAATATATATATAATTTATTGAAATTGAGTGGGGGAAGAGTCATAAAGGTGATATTAATATAAACGATTCATGGTGATGAAATAGAGGTATAAAATAACATTGAGACTATGATATAACGCGTATATGGAGATGAAGGTAGTAAGTATATATATATGGTATAGAAGTAGGTGATATATATTTTGAAATAGTCAAATCAGTAGGTGAGTAATATAATAGTCGTGTAGTAGGGGATGGGGGTATATATTAGTGAGGTGTGTATATAAATAATATGGCGGCGGTATAATATATTATATAATATAATATATATAAACATATATAATATGAGGGGTATTAAGACGGGGGTGCATTGTATTCAACGGGGGTATGACGTCGGGTAGTAGTAAGTATATTATATGAGGTATAGGTTTATAAATATATACTATATAATATATATTATGGGAAGTATATATATATATAATATATAAACATGGGGTTATATAATATTATATATGAGGGGTAATTAATATAAGATAGTATGAGTTATGATATATATGTGAGTCTCATAAACTCGATATGGGAAAATGGTCTATAGCGGAATAAATGTGGGATATGGTGGTATATATATATATATATACTCATTATATACATGGAATAATATACATTAGTGCTACGACATACATTAATTTTACAGTATATTGGACGGGGATGAAATAGGGTATTACATGATGTGGTGGTACACATACGATAGAGCATGAGGCATACATGAGGTAGTAGTGTGAGTATCAAACGTGGAGTTAAGTCTAGGGAGGTAATTGAGGGTGGTAATGTATATGAGGTATATGATGGGGTAATATAGATGATGGACACATATTATATACAGTAGTAAGTTCTACAACGGGGATATAGGTCTTATAGCGGAGTTGAATATACATATACTATACAATGTATATAATAGTATATATTAGGTCTAATTATGATTATACAGCCATAGATGTGAGTAGCAGCATATTATACTATAGTAGTAAGTACAGGTAATAGTGAAGGTGACAGGTGAGTCAACCGGGGTATATATAGAAGGCATTCCGCAGACGAGGCATACAATGGCCATACATAAAAAGCCGAAAGAGGAGTTATGTACGTTACTTTTCGGTTTTACGTGCGAATAGTATCGCGGGATCAGGTCATCGCAAGAATACCCGGAGTGCTAAAGTTATGTTAGAGAAGTTGCGTAGGGATTGATGTGCTCCCACCGGTGCGGTGACAGGTCTGGGTATATACCAGCTCTCACAGTGTGTTAAAAATATACAAATTCTTACGGTGATGAAGAGAACTGGAGTGGTGTAGATGCGAGTAATGAGGGAGATCACGGAGCGGGGATCGAATAGTCCTAAAAGGCGCTGGAAAAGTCGAGTGGGTGATGGCTGGTACAAAATCTCGCGAAGTCGTCGGTTCTTATGCGGGCCACGCGTCTACGTGTTCACTATCGTTACGCCCCGCAGAAGGCGACAGGGTGAGTGCAAACGGGCGACAGGGAGAGATTCATCTTCGGTGGGGCGTGCAGAAAAGCCAATTTACATTCTGCAGACGAGTCAATTTCCGTGTTATTGATAAACGCTAATACCTCAAAGCATCACGGATTCTTCCCTAGACTCTTCCCCAGATTTCCGTGTTGCTAAACCGGGTAGCCCGAAAGAAGACCACGCATAGCTGGGTATAAAGGTACTGCTTGCGGCTACCTGGTCAGCATTCACTCAGCGTCACTTCTACTAACAGTTCTTCTTCCCTCGAGCAGCTCATCATGTCTTCAAAGATGGTAAAGTATTCCGCATATAATCTTGTGCGAGAGAAAAAAACAAAACAAGACAGATTTTGAGAAGTTGAAAACAACACGAGAACAAACAGAACCACATATCGCCCATGTGAGGTCGTCCCCTGTCAACCCGACCGCAAATCACCCTTGGCCCGTGTCTGTAGTGATCGCCGACCTCTCTTTTGACAGGTCTTCGTGTTGCTGGCGATAGGTTCGTGTCGTGTTGCTGCGAGTGCTCGGCGCGGTGAGCACAGACACGACCTTCGCAAAAGCAGCTTGGCGGGGCTCCAGCGGGGGAAAGGGTGAGTCCAAAGCAGTGCGGAGGTAAGGTCTCGCCCGGGTTGAGGCAAAGAGGTGTGTCTTTTGGGTGTGTGATAATGTCATTTTTAGAAGATGGAGATAATAGAGTACACTGACTGGGGATCTAAATATATTGGTTTGATCACAAAGGAAGAAAGACGCGAACCTTGACTGAGCATGCCACACTGGTTGGGTGTGTGTAACAGGAAGGGCCGCCCATTCGTTGTTTATCCTGACTCGAACGCGCATACAAAACGGGATGGGACTTGGCAAGACAAGGCATCCGACGTGTGTGCGAGGCCAGCGCGAGCGTCGGGTCGCGACGGCAGCACATGGTCCGCGAGTCTTAGGCGCTGCGTCACAGTGTGCCCGCCGACGGAGGCTGGCAGAAAGGCAGAAACGTAGGGGGGGTGAACACAAAAGCCCCGTCTTAACAATCTATTCGCATATTGCTGAA